GCCGCGCTGTTCAGGAGTTCACTGTGCAGAGATCCCATTCTAAGTGGGTGAAACGCCGCGCAACTAGATCACGTGAGCCGCGCCCGCGGATTGCTTGATTTGGTGAAGTTTTCAAGATTTTAAAGAAACAACAACAACAAAAACAAACAAACAGGGGATGCCAATGTTATTGTTCTGTTTACCAAACTACTTTCCAAGCAATATTGAATAGTGAGTGAGAATTGTGTGTTGACCGGCCGGGTATAGAGTAGCCCGTCCTGCGCGGCAGACGCGGCAAAATATCCCTACCCACATACGGGTAACCCCTCAACTGCGCTACCCACTCACCTCTCGACAACAACAACACATTTCTGTACTTACATCCTTACAATCCAACACATCCACTACATCCAAGCATGTGTGATTTCAGTCCGTCTATCTCTATCTCTTACCATCCGACTCACTAACCAAACCCGGGAACCAGTACCCCTCATCTGTGTCTGTGCGTTTCATCTCCATCCTCTCCTCTTATACCAGTCGCTGAACTTGCTACATTCGCAGGGGGATGTCCTACCAAGATCGAGCAGGACGCTAGTGGGCCAGCTATGATATGTCCTAGATGTCATAATGCGAGCGTGCACAACGCCAAGAGTCGGATGTGGTTCGAATTGTGCGCCTCCCCCTTCGCCTTGCCCACTAGTACTTTGGGCAACCACTGACCTTGTTCTCAGTTGTTTCGTCCCTATCATCCCCTGTCAATCAGAGCAAATCTACTTCTGCTCGATCTGTTCCTGGGAAGTAAACAGACAAGGGAATCCCGCACCGCCTATCGCACCCGGGCCGGGGCAGCAGTACCAGCAGCTGCAGCCCGGATATCAGCCTGCGCCGAACCCCAATCAAGGCTGGGGTGGACAGGCGCCGTATGGCGGGTACGGCGCTCAGCCGTACCCTCAGCAACAGCCGCCTAAGAACCAACAGGGAGGGTTTGCGCAGCCCTATCCTCCCCAGCAGGGGTATGGGAATTGATGGGGAAGTTCGAGTTTGCCGTCGTGTATGATGGCTTTGGGTTGTAGGGTGATAGAGGGGCAGTACCCATCTAGTCTGATCTATGATACGCTTTATATGATATTACGGGATGTACTATGCAATTTGCTTGCTGATTTGTGGCAACCTAACTGGTGTCTGCCTCGCGAACAAAACTGAGGTGATGGAGAGAAGTTCGTTCCGTTTATTGGGCATTTTCACCTCAAGTCCGTACAGGTACTGTAGCCAGTCTTTGCGCCCTCCCTCCAGCGCTACTTCTTCCCCTTCTTCTTCTTCTTCTTCCCTCCTCCCCCCGCCCCAGCACTCGATGCCACATGCGGCTGCCCACTTCCCTTCACCTCCTCGGCCTTAGGCACAGAAGCTCGATCGTCAACCGCCATGGCGTCCTCCACCAGGGCTGGTGGGTCTGGTCTCGCGCGCATGCGTTTCATGAGCTGGAGGTTGAGTGCATCAAAGCGATTTAGAAGGAGGGAGCTGTGAGTTTTATGTTGCAAACACTGCTCTGAGTGAGTATTTGCAGTTATTGAAGATAGGAGACGGACTGTGACGTCGTCTGTTATTTTGAGTACTAACAAGTTCTTCTCTGTGCGGTATTTCACCACGTAACGTGTCTAGCGTAGACAAGGGATGAGATTAGCAACAACACTGATGCATAGACGTACCTTTGTGGGTGATGCAGCATATAACTCTTCTGCCCGTCGAGCAAACTCAGGCCAGAAGGTTATGTACATAGTGGTGTATTGCTGTGACTGTGAGCGCCTGCTAGGGTCGTGTACTTTCTTTCGCTAACACCTGAGACCCCTAACACCGCAGCTGTGGCAGTGCAGTGGTGTACAACGTCATTACAACGTCATACCTCGCTCATCCTTTCCACATTGTCCCTAACTACTTCAACACGTTTCTTGTCACACCACAGCACTACTTTTGTGGTGGTGAAGTGGTGGAGCAAGAGGAAGAGGGGAATGAGGGAACGGGAGCCCTTTGGGGAGACCAAAGGGCAAACAGGTGGACGCCAGTGCATATCATACTTGTATCAATTATCTCCATGTACAAACAGTCACACCATGAGCCGGTCGCGCACGGCACACGCCGTCAAGCGCTGTTCAGGGGTAAACACGAGCAATCTCCACCTCACTTGGCTTAGTTTACCTCCGTCAGCCGTTGGGATAACAGGGGTCACATCCCGTGCACGCGTCGCCTCTCGTGTTGACGTCCATCTCGCACGTCGTGTTGACATCCATCTCGCACTTCATCAACATTGCCTTCGCCGTAACCGGGCTGGTACCAGCGATAGTATCAGCATCCCGCCAAAACGGATGCGTACCGAAGACTTTCCCAAGACGAATTCTCAGGAGGGGTCCTCCTCTCCCGAGTTGGATTTATCTTTCGGAACACAATCTTCTTCGAATGGCCCCCCTTCGGATCTCGCATTCAATATCCATGGTATCAAGGAGTGGGACGACAGCATTCTCAATAGCGATCGACTGGGAAAAGGGACTTCTGACACGCTCGATACATCCAGTCGCGCTTGGATCAGGACAACCCTGGGTATCAAGGACAAGATTGCACGGATATGGCTTTCGGGTTCGAACACCCTGATCGTTTTGGACGATGCAAATCGCGCAATTGTCTTCAAGTACATTGATCGAAGTGCAACGTGGGGGGGCTCAGCAGGAGGTCCGACAAACGTTCGGGCAACGTCTTGCCAATGGCGAAGACGGTGCTCTCGGCGTTCTCACCGTCAACAATTGGGCGGAAGCCGACGGCATGTGCATCGTGGAACCCGATATAGACGAAGGCGGAACCGTGGCCACCGTGAAGTTGACGTTCATTCCAGTCGTCCATGGTGCTGAAGAGACCCACGTCGTCAAATTGCCTCGAGACCTTGAAGTACTTGCTGTCAATCGGCATTGGGTCTTATGCCGCCATCGCAAACATGGTAATCGGTTGATCGCCAAGAACATTCAAAGTGACCGAACGGCGGCATTGGTCCTGAATGGAACCTCACCCGTAAGCTTGATAGTGATCTCGTACTGGCTCTCGTTGATATATTACAAAGGTCAAGCTGAGGAAAGTGGAAGCATGGATTCTCGGGTCATATGCCCTTGTCGTCAATTACAATTACGCATGTTTGGAAGTATTCGACGGGTTCGGTTCTCAGGACAGTGGACGTCAACCCAAGCGAATTCGCACGTGGTTGATCGGATACGCGTTTTATCGGACAGCGTTGGTGATAAACCCTCTCGGCCCTCAAATTGCACTTCAGTTCGAGGATACTATCTCGATTTCCCAGCTGGAGCTTGGCAACGACGTCCAAGGACTCACCTTGGACGGCAAAATGGTGTTGGACGGTGCATACCACTGGTGACTCTGATGACTCATATTGCTCCGCTTTTACTGTCTTGGATGAAGGAGCCCGTATTCTGTTCCTAGAACACAATGGATCCAGCCCACCGGTGTCTACACTACGAATGGCACAGAAGAAGGGCACGTCGATCGACAACGGCAACGAGGTTACGGAGTACAAACAGACACATGTCGTCCTGCAGTCCAAATTCGATGATCTGCTCCGTCACGTGGACTTCATCTTCTTGCATGGTGAACATCTCCTATGTGGACGACAACGCTCTTTGCTCTGGATGGACATTCAACTGTCCATTGATAAAGATCAAATGTGTACCGTCGAACTGAGCGATTTTCCTGCAGAGTACCTGGATACGGAAGATTCGAACCCCTCGGACACTCATGGTTTGGTGCGTAATTCGCTTCGCCACCTCGACCGTACTGAGATGCCCTCAATAGCCCTTGGAGAAGTCTTCTCCCGTTCATAACGGCTCGAATTCGCCTCCATCCGAATTCATCCTCATCCCGCCCGTAGACATCCGTGAAGAGATCCCATCTCAATACATGTATGGCGACACCCTCCAGGAGTATGCCAGTGAGATATGGATGGAGCCTCTTGGCCTGCGGTGGTGTCTCCGCTTTGGTCTCGGCATCATTGGCACCATACGCCTCGTGCTCGTCTGGAACTCCGCGGAATGTCTCACAACCATTTTCCAGGTCACCACCGACTCTACGCCGACATACTATCGGCTCGATGCTTACTACGACGTCGCCGGTCTTCGCCAACAGCTCCACTTGTGTTACTGGAATAAAGAACACTGGCTTAAGTGTACAAGACCCGAAGCCGACAAGGACCAGTGTGGTGACAAAACCCTCTTCGGGTTGGACATCCATCGGATGTATGCCCAAATGGCGGTGGAAAAGGATCTTGAGGTGACATACGTCGATGATGACTCCATGCCCATGACCAAACGTATGACGGCCATCAGATTGGGGGACATTGCCGCATAGTTCGTGTTACATTATCCCATGACTATTAGCTCCTCACTCTATATGTACTTCTCCACGCATCACATGCACTCACTTCAATCTCATCATTGTTATTGCCGGACTTGTCGCCGGCCGTTACGTCCCGTCTGTCCCGGTGGCATCCGAACATCTATTGTACTAGGTCCTGCAGTTGAAGGAACGATAGCTTGTTGTTGTTGAACCGGCCCTGACTGACTGGATGACATCGCAGCCAGCCTTGATTGCTCCGAAACAAGCCATGCTCGCAATTCCTCCTCGTCATAGGGAAAGAAGGTCACGAGTTCTATCTTGTTCGTGTTGGAGTTCCATTTTGGGATCTTGATGGTGAGTTCGATACCGGCATCCTTGAGCATTCGACATGCCATGGTAAGGGTGAGCCCGCACTTGTAGCAAAGATCAATAATCGACCTCGATCTTCGGAATGTGTTCTTGAAGTATTCCGAGAATTGGGCATGACTCAACCCCACGCACTCTTCGGTACAGATGGTGATTTCGGTACCCATGTTGTCGATAACATTGAGGATGACCGTTTTGCCATTGAGGCGTTTACCACTGTCTGGATGTTTCGCCTACCAGAGCAAACTGCAAAGTATGAGTATCGAACAGGAACCTCAATGTGGACGGGACGTACTGTGCGATGATCCCATACTCAGCGCATTGACACCAAGGCGCACGGCCATGAACTTCTGTACCCATGAGCATGCCCGTTTGCTCGGTGACCTTGATGCAGCCCTCGATTCTCCGGGCATCAGCATCCGACATCAATTTTCTCAAACAAGCTTGTCGTAGGAGGAGTTGGGCGGATTTTGCACCGTAAGCCGCTTCTGGTATTTGTTCTGTAACATCCATCCATCTTCTGGGTTTTGGGATCAGTGGTTGTAAAGTCGTCATCTGCCGGAACAGTATGTTCTGGATTATGTTGCGCAAGCGGGTAATGGCCAATTGTTCCAGCTTCGTAAGGGGGATGGTGATGCTTGCCAAGGGTGTCTCAAATTGCAGATCATCTTTCTCCACATAGGCAATCGCCGATACCCTCGGCGAGCCACAGTCTGGATACAAGAAACGGCCCCATATGTGCGATGTATACAAGACAGCGTTCGATTCTGCCCAGTCACAAGGACCATGCCCGTTGCTTAGGAGTGCAACTACAGTATATGTGATCAGTACAACTGCCTTCACGCCACGAGCAATGACAGAGACGTACGCGCGACTCCTAACCAATCACCTAGCGGGTATTCCGACCCAGCCATATTTCTGTACACGAGACTGTCCGGTCTTCGGAAGTCGGCTACGTCTTCAACGTTGTTCCGGCTTCGATACATCAACAGCTTGTATCTGAGATAATACATGAGCAATCCAGACCCGGGGTTGGCCAAGCAGAGCCACTATGAACGTACGTTGGACTGGGCTTCGTCGTAGTTTGCTCTTCCTCCCCTTCGACGAGAACTTTGTACGCCTCATGTAACCAAGCTTGAGTGGATTGGGCTTGAATAGCGAGGTCGCGCAACGTAGCCCTGATGCTCTAACGTGCAAGTCAGTCCAGATGCCCGTTCCTTGATGAGGGTTCACGAACATCTGGACTAGTAAGAGCGCAATATCCAGACACGCTAGTAAAGTATGCGTCGCGCATCCCAAGATAGTTCGCCGAGAGAGAATGGGACAGACGAAAGAGGTGAGAATTATCACGACAAAAGAGGACGATCGAATATCTGGCGAGTCATGGGCACAAAAACCGCGAGGTAGCGTAGGCCTCGCCACATACTACATCTTCAAGCCGCCGCCGACCCTCGCCCTCCTCGTCCGCCTAAACCCCACTCGCCTGTCTAGATACCCGCCCAGTCTCTCCCCCCCCCCC